CTGGGATCTCACAGACAGAGAGTCGCAAACCTGCCAAAGACATTTGCAGCAAGAGCCGCTGCCCTTGTGAGGAGAAGGAGAACGTGCTGAACATTAATTGTGAAAACAAAGGATTTACAACCGTCAGCCTCCTCCTGCCGCCACCGTCCAAGATCTACCAGCTGTTTCTCAATGGGAACGCGCTGACCCGCCTGTTCCCCAATGAGTTCGTCAACTACTCCAACGCCGTGACCCTCCACTTGGGCAACAACGACATGCAGGAGATCCGCACAGGGGCCTTCAGTGGCCTGCGCACTCTCAAGAGGCTGCACCTCAATAACAATAAGCTGGAAGTGCTGAAGGAGGACACATTCCTGGGCTTGGAGAGTCTGGAGTACCTGCAGGCTGATTACAATTATATCAGTGCCATTGAGGCGGGGGCCTTCAGCAAGCTAAACAAGCTCAAGGTGCTGATTCTCAATGACAACCTCCTGCTGTCCCTGCCCAGCAACGTCTTCCGCTTCGTGCTCCTCACTCACCTGGACCTGCGAGGGAACCGTCTGAAAATGATGCCTTTTGCCGGTGTGCTGGAGCACATTGGAGGCATCATGGAAATCCAGCTGGAGGAGAACCCTTGGAACTGCACCTGCGACTTGCTGCCACTCAAGGCCTGGCTGGACACCATCACTGTGTTCGTGGGCGAGATAGTCTGTGAAACCCCCTTCCGGCTTCATGGGAAAGATGTGACCCAGCTCACCAGGCAAGATCTCTGCCCTAGGAAAAGCTCCAGTGATTCAAACCAGAGGGAAAAACACCCTGTCCTCTCAGACCCACATATTTTGAGGCTATCACCCACAGCCAACTCTGCCATCAATCCCACCAGAGCCCCAAAAGCCAGCCGGCCCCCCAAAACTAGGAACCGCCCCACACCCCGTGTCACTGTGTCGAAAGACAGACAAATATTTGGACCTATCATGGTTTACCAGACAAAATCTCCTGTGCCCATCACCTGCCCATCTGGCTGCATTTGTACTTCACAGAGCTCAGACAACGGTTTAAATGTGAACTGTCAAGAGAAAAAGATAAGTAACATCTCTGATCTCCACCCTAGGCCGACCAGTCCAAAGAAACTTTATCTTACCAGTAACTATCTGCAAGTCATTTATAGAACCGATCTTGTAGAGTACAGCTCTCTGGATTTGTTACATCTAGGAAATAACAGAATTGCGGTGATACAAGAAGGTGCCTTTACAAACCTCACAAGTTTACGTAGACTTTATCTTAATGGCAACTACCTTGAGATTCTGTATCCATCTATGTTCGATGGGCTGCACAGCCTGCAATATCTCTACCTAGAGTACAATGTCATTAAGGAGATCCTGCCACGCACCTTTGATGCTCTGACTAATCTTCATCTGTTATTTCTCAATAACAACCTGCTCAGATCCTTGCCTGACAATGTCTTTGGCGGCACTTCCCTCACCAGACTCAACCTGAGAAACAACCATTTCTCACACCTGCCTGTGCGAGGAGTCTTGGACCAGCTCTCGGCTCTAATTCAGATAGACCTCCAGGAGAACCCTTGGGATTGCACATGTGACATCCTGGGGCTGAGGAACTGGATAGAGCAAGTCACTGACCAGAACAACCAGCAGTCAAATCCCCCCGTAGTTATCAATGAAGTCATATGCGAGTCTCCCACCAAGCACTCTGGAGAACATCTGAAATTCCTGAGCAAAGAAGCCATCTGCCCAGAGAACCCCAACTTGTCAGATTCATCTCTCCTCTCCATGAACCAGAATACAGATACACCCCATCTCCTTGGTGTCTCACCCAGCTCCTACCCAGAAATACACACTGAAGTTCCGCTGTCTGTCTTAATTTTAGGCTTGCTGGTTGTGTTTATTTTGTCAGTCTGTTTTGGGGCAGGCCTCTTTGTCTTTGTCCTTAAGCGCCGGAAGGGGGTGCAAAGCATGCCCAGCAGCGCAAACAACTTAGATGTAAGTTCATTTCAGCTCCAGTATGGGTCTTACAACACTGAGACTCATGATAAAACTGAAGGACACGTTTATAACTACATTCCCCCTCCTGTTGGACAGATGTGCCAAAACCCAATCTACATGCAAAAGGAAGGGGATCCAGTTGCCTATTACAGGAATCTCCACGAGTTTGGCTATAGCAATCTTGACCACAAAAAGGAAGACCCCACTGGTCTTGCATTTACAATCAGTGCAGCTGAATTACTGGAAAAGCAATCCTCACCAAGGGAACCAGAGCTTCTGTATCAAAATATTGCAGAGAGGGTCAAGGAACTCCCCACTGGAGGATTAGTTCATTATAACTTTTGCACCTTACCCAAAAGGCAGTTTGCCCCTTCATATGAATCAAGACGCCAAAACCAGGACAGGATAAATAAAACTGTTTTATATGGAACTCCCAGGAAATATTTTGCAGAACAGTCTAAACCCGAGCATCCTTTACTCCAAGGCAAGCTACAAACAGAACCAGACTACCTCGAAGTTCTGGAAAAACAAACTGCAATCAGTCAGCTGTGAGGGGGGAGATGGGAGACAAAGGAAAATTTTTCAATGAGCTCAGCATCACGTTTGATTGAGTCTGAACTCAGTGCTGATGTCATCTGTCGCATTACCAACATTTCCACTTTTTAAATTAGAGAGGAAGTGAGAGAGAAATGGAACCCTTACAGCATAGCAGGGATATGATGTTGCTTTTGCAACGTTCCCTTTAAGTTATTTCTCTATCTCTCTCATTTTGACCCTTCTGTAGGAACTGTCACTGCAAATGTATGTTTCTGTAATAGATCTTGCATAATTCTTTTTGATTTGGAAGGAAATGAGGAAGGGGGGTCTTTGGGTTTTCTGTTGTTCTTTTCTTTTCATTTCAAAATGGAAACTTAATGTATTATGTAGAAGATCTCCAAAGATCTTTTTTCCTGGACTATGACTTTCTTTTGTAAATAATAATATACAGTACTGCTGTTTCAATTACCAAGTATAGCCACTGGGCGTCACTTTTTTGTGTTAAAGTGCCTTTGCACTTTAAGTACATTATTACTTAATTGTTGCTCTTAGCTTTGATAAATTGAACCTATTTTAATGTGTTGTATTTTTGAAATTAAAAAAAAAATTGTAAAATAGATCTATATGTCAGCTGCATTAAATCAAGGTTTGATTTATAGGAAAGCTGCCCTTCTTTAAATGAATCTAGTTCTAGGACCTTACAGACTCAAATGTAAATTATTGGGGTATTTTTTTTCCCTCTAGGTTTGTTTAGAGTGATTCACTGAAATCAATTGATAGCATTTAGTAATGGACTAGAGGTTATCAAATGCCTCAGCTGGGAGTAACAGCTCATTAATAAAAGACGTTTAACACAATGTCATAGTGAACTGAACAATTAATGTCCCTAATACATTGCACTGCAACTCTAACACAGTAATGTTCGGAGGTTTAAAATTATTTTCATATTTAAGAGAACATTACTCATAATATTTTATGCATAAAATTAGGTATTTTTATACATTTTATGACAAAGTTTATATTTGTAACTTTTTTGGACTGAAATTAACATGTCCTTTTACTGCCAGATACATATTTATTTTAATAAGCAGGGACACCAGCAGGGGTCATCCCACACCTCATTAAATTTATTAACATACAGGCAAATGAACCAATGCCAGAGGTAAAATTTGAACCTGGGTCTCTGGAGTCCTCTAAATCAAGGTAGCAGAAATCAGTATGTGCATCACACTAAGTTTCAGTAGTCTGAACTATGTCAAGTTTTCAGTCTCTAAAGCCAAAGTAATATTGCAGTAATTCTAATCTAATAGAGAAAACCTTAAATTAAAAAAAAAAATAATATTTTAAGTTAACTGAATTCCACTCTCAACATTGGTTTTCTTAAGCCCATCAGTGAACAAATGCAGTAAATCTTCTCCTTTCCCATTAACTCAGGCCTGTTTTACTTCCAGCTTTATGTTATCACCTTCAATTTACATTTCCTTCCTGAAGAATATTGAAACCATTTTTATTAACAAGTATACAGGCAAACTTTATTAAGCCTTATTAGCTTCTAAATAATTTTTAGATGCAAACATTATTGTGCGATTTAAACAAACAGCCCTTATTTACAACAAAAACAGTTTTGTTTTGTCTATTGTAAATCCTTATGCAACTGGGATGGTGATCTGCATATAAAGTAGGCCAGGCTTTTCAATTCCTTATTAAAGCAATTGATGGAGTCTGAAAGAAGCACACTGTTTCCTTTTCATAAATAGGTTACTGCACATAATAATCCTTTATTATCATGCGGAGATTGAAGTGGCCTCTGCTGACTGATTTTTAGAGCTTTACTATACTCAAAGTATCTACAACTTTGAGAAATTTTCAGCAATAGCATTTGAGCTATAAATGACTACAATCAATGTTGCTCTAATCAGGACTTTGCCAAAAGGAAGTTGCTTTATATTTAAGAGCTAAAGAGGCTTTGCATGTATATCGCCAGATTTCTGAGTCATTCAGAAAACTGTCTTCTAGTGATTTATGTGATATCTGAGGATATTAATATGCTAACATGTCCATTCTTTATGTTTAGAGTCCATAGCATCTATGGCTGTTCATTAGATCAGGTTTAAAACTGAAGTGCTACAATGAACTAGTGAAGAAGCAGTCTTCAAAATGGTCTCACTTCAAGGAGGCCAAATAGTATCACATTAGTTGATCTTGGAACATTTGACTGGAATAGCGTCCATCTTTGAGTGAGGTACTTGCCTGAAAGTAGTGACTGTGTTATTATGGCTCCTTTCCCTCGGTAATTAAAAGCATTTATTACTGAAACCCTAAGAAAAGTGTTAAGTAGTATTTTAAAGTAAAGTTATTAACTCTTTCCAGGTATGATTTTAGTATTGCCTGCAAAACAAGTACCATGTTATATCTGGCACTGTAGCAGCTAGGATTTTATTATTTATGATTCTCTAGTGAACCAGGACCAATTACATGTTTTTTTTCTCAGAAAATATTAATTTTTCCTAAAAAAAAAAAAAAGTTTTAAATTTTCTAGTGTTTATAAACAACAGAAATAGGCAATTGGTTCTTTTAGTAACTTTATCTTGTTTATTTTTACTGTTTCAGTCGCAGACTGTCTTATCGTGCTTGCTTTGGTAGCACAGCCGTATTTTAAAAAGGTTGCTGTTGCTTTACATTTCCTTAGCTTTCCTAGTGGAATTTATTTAGGGACTAGAATTTATTTTGCATCACCAATACCAACTTAAAAATCTTTATTGCTGTAAATATTTTAGGTTTGTTTTTATACCCTTCAGCTGACATCTGTTAAGCAATTCTTCTCATAGTGTGTCTAGGTGAGAGAGAAGGAAATTTTTTTTCAGTTACGCTTAAAGAGATTTGTTTAACAGGGAAAGTGTGTTGGCAGCTGCTGTGTAGAAGGTCTCTACACTTCTTTAGTTGTGCAGCCCTGGAAGCTGCTGCTTGTTAGGGGAGAGCTGCTTGCCTGAGTAGTGGCTTGATAATGAGCCTGAAAAAATTTTCCTTCATAGTTTGAAAAGTTGAAAACTGTGAAAATTATGTAACCAGGTTAGCAAAGTATTTTTTTCCTCAGGAAGCTAGGATGCAAATAGTTTCATTTCTTCATAAGTTTTATTTTGTGAAAGTGAATATAATGACCTTTACAGAAACAGCAACCGTGCAGACTGAAGCACTGCTAAAACTATGCAGTTATCAAAATGAGGGGCAGTACACTTCCAGTGCATGAATACATTTTTTAGGAGATCTTTCTGTGTAAGCATGAAGTCAAATTTATCAATGATCTTAGAAACTGGACTTCAATAAGTAACTTCAATGGCAAAATGGAGAGAGATGCTAACCTTACACTACTGTGAGGAGATTGCCTTAAGGTTCCTAGGCAGACATCTATCTCCTGGGATGATGCTGTGGCTTTGCTAGCAACAGAACACACCCAGAGGATGACAGGTTAATTACCTTCCCTTTTTCTCCCCACAAAACAAATGCCACTTTTTGCAAAAGGGTTCTCAAGAATTCTGCAGAGCCACTCCAAATGCCCATTAGTAGTCCTCCTTTCTGCAGTCTCTCTCTTCCATCACTTTTCATCCTTTAGGGTTCCAGCACTTGCTCAGTTCCTACCTCACCTCCATTATCTGTTTCCCAAACCCTCACTGTGTAATGCCCCAACCTTTCCCCTCATGTGTCTCCCTGGGCTTTCCTTTTCTTGCTTAGCCAGCTCTGGAGGACGTATTTCAACCTTGAAGGGAAATGATGTCCCTGCTCCATTGAGAGATCAGCCCTTGCCTCTCCCCATGACTCTGCTGAGTAGCTCCATGTGAAATGAGACCCTTGATCCCAGTGGTATTCCTGGGGGCCATACTGGAGGAAGGTCTGCATAGCAGTTCCCTCTTCCACTCATGGAAGCAGAATTTCTGAGTAAGAAGACATGGATGAGCTATCTGAAACTGCTGGCATCACAGCAGACTTTGCTGTCATTTCAGCAAGTTGTCTTCAGCATGGGTTAATCTTGCCAAAATTAGCTACTAAAATTTATGACTCAAACTGGTTGTGTAGGGTCTTTAGAGTAAATAGCAAAAATCAGGCCATTCAAAGGTGATTTATTTTGTACCAAAATGTATGGCATGACTTGGGTTACAGATATGCCTACTTTTTTACAGTAACTGTAGAGAGGGTAGATGATGAGCACTGATTAAATAGCTAATTCCCACGTAGACGCAGTCAGCTCAGCCTGATCACTTGCTAGCACACCCACGTGTAACGTACATGCTCTGCTGAGTATTTGCCAGTCTCTACCCCAAGACATTTCCATTCTGTCCATGAGAGAAATGCTTCCTGTGGAGTTTATAGCCTGCTTTGGTCAAAGGCACTGTCTTTTTATAACACCTTGTGCTGATAGAGAACTATACAGTAGGGTTTAGTTTGGTTTTCTTTTTCTTCCCATCAACACCTGAGTTTGTAAAATAAAAATCTGTCCTGGTTTTTGGCTGAGACAGAGCTAGTTTTCTTCTTAGCAGCTAGAAAAGTGCTGTGTTTTGGTTTCACTATGGGATTTGTTATGAGAAAAACATTGATAACATGCTAATGTTTCCAGTTGCTGGAAGACGAAGGACTTTCCAACTTCCCTATGTTTTGCTAGTTTGCAGGTGCAAAGGGCTAGGAGGAGGGGAATATTAAAATTAGTAAACCCAAACTGGCATTTGGATATGCCAATGAGATATTCCATATCATATAACGTCATGTCCCAGCCAAAAACCAGGACAAAATCAAACTTTAAAAGTTAGAAGCTGTAATTAGTAGTGTCAAAATAAGGATACCAGCAAGTTAAATTGCCTAAATAAAAGTCATAAAGAATACTTATCTTGTATAGGAATACAAATGCCATAATTTTAAACTGCTCATGAGTGAAATGAGAATACTGGAAATGTTAATGAAACTTCTTAATGTCTTATGGGCTAATCACTGATACAGTTTGTGATTTTTCATATTACTGTTTTTGCAGACAGTAAATGTCATTTAACAAAGAGAGAAGAAAAAAAAACCTCAACCTACTTCCCAAAGTCCCTCCCCCAACTGTACAACTCCAAACCAGCAGATAAATTAACTTACACAGATGATGTGACATTTCTTGTATTTTTCCCTTCGCTTTTTCAAAGTGTTCTGTAGGAGAAGTACAAAAGTTATTCTTTTGTAAGAGGATCTTTAAGTCTGTTTGGATTATTGATCTCATAGCTGTTCTGGGCACCAGGCCAATCATTTTGACTAAGGTTTTTAATCCTAGCTAATGAGGGAGGTGGATTAAAGAGAAGGGTTTTGCTGGTTTTTGTTATTGGAGGGTTGGTTGGGTTTTTTTTTGAACCAGTAGATTGACATGTTTATGAATACAGATGAATAGATCATTTTGGATGAAAGAAATGTTGGAGCTGCAATCAGAGATACAGTCATTCTACAGACCAAATAGACTCAAAAGTATGTGTGAAATCTGAAAAACAAGACATCATAAAACTTCAGGTTTTCTTCCTGAGATCATAAACACAGAGGGCCTCCATTTGAGTACCAACAGCAACTTCTGTTACATGCTGTTAAACATTAGGAGGGATGAAATTAG